TGAGAAAAACTGAGTATTTTACATAAATTAAAAAAAAATCAAAACAAATTTCATTTATAAAATTTGGAAAAAATAGATAAAAAAGTGTTTTCTTAACTAATTTGAGAAAAACTGAATATTTTACATAAATTAGAAAAAATATCAAAACAATTTTAAAAAAAATTACTCATTTTGAAAATTTGGAAAAATAGATAAAAAAGTGTTTTCTTAACTAATCTTGATGATTTTGTCAAAACATGCAATAAATGCAAAAATTAGAAAAAAACTGAGTATTTTACATAAATAAAAAAAATCAAAACCAATTTAAAAAAAATACTCATTTTGAAAATTTGGAAAAAATAGATAAAAAAAGTGTTTTCTTAGCTAATTTTGATAATTTTGTCAAAACACGCAATAAGTGCAAAAATTAGAGAAGAACCGGGTATTCTACATGACTTAAAAAACAATTCCAAACAAATTTCATTTTTAAAATTTGGAAAAAATAGGTAAAAAAGTGTTTTCTTAACTAATTTGAGAAAAACTGAATATTTTACAAAAATTTAAAAAAAATCAAAACAAGTTTTAAAAAATTACTCATTTTAAAAATTTGGAAAAATAGTTAAAAAAAGCGTTTTCTTGACTAATCTTGATGATTTTGTCAAAACACGCAATAAATGCAAAAATTAGAGAAAAACTGAGTATTATACATAAATAAAAAAATCAAAGCAAATTTTAAAAAATGACTCATTTTGAAAATTTGGAAAAAATAAATAAAAAAGTGTTTTCTTAACTAATTTTAATGATTTTGTCAAAACAAGGCAATTAATTCATACATTATAGAAAAACAAGGTATTTTACATAAATTTAAGTGTTTCTTAAAAAAAAAGTCAAAACGGATTAAAAATTGTCAAACTGAGCTTGAAAATCTTTGGTTTACATCAAAAAATACGCAAAATTCGAATTATTTTATCAAAACAAAATTAAAAGTTTTTCTTACTGACAAACTTTCTCCCTGAATTGTTTCACCAAATAAAAAAGAAATAAATTTTTTTTTTGTTAAATTATGATTAAAATGCGTTTTTTTTCCTTTCCTAAAGTAAGACAGAAATTGGTAAAAAAATACGTTATTTTTCCTTATTTTCGTTATTTTTCACCAAGAAACTCAAAATTTAAAAGATTTTGTCAAAACAATGGAAAAAATTTACCAAATCCTAAATTTCTTGGTAATTTTTGAAAAGAAGTAATTCATCCAAAAATAGTCATATTTAGATTGAAAAAAAGATGTTTTGAAGCTTCAAGTTTCTAGTTTTAATATTTTTTGGTAAATTTTTTTTCCCTGGTACGGTTACCACGCAACTTGGGAAATATCTTGAGAAAAAGATCTAAATTTTCTTGTATTTTCTTTGTATATCTTAGCGACAAATTGAAGCTAAATAAATGATTTAATCAATAGAAATTTCCCCAAGTTTGTGGACGAAAAAAATACATATTTTTCTTATTTCTTAGGATTACGTAAAAATCGTAGCTCAAAATTTTTTTGCCAAAATTTGAAGCTTTCAAATGGTTTTTTTAAATCTAAATACGACCATCTTTCATTAAGGTACAATATTTCAAAAATCATCATTTTTTGTTCTCTAAATTTTTTGGAATAGTAAAAGGTTCTATGTTTTGTCATTTTGAAGTTTTTGAGATAATAAGAAATCTTTTTTCAAAGAGTTTTTCACTTAATTTGCAAAATGTAAAAACAAAAACGATGAATTTGATCCATTTTCTCGAAGAGAAAAATAGAAAATTTAAGACATCTTTGATATTAAAGGTGATTTTAAAGAATGCAATGTTACCAAAAAAGATTAGAATAAATACGAAATTCCAAATAATATTAAGAGTTATTACTATTATTTTCGTTTCAGCTCGTGACCTTACAAGGAGTGTCAAATGTGGACATTTTTCTCGACTATAATAACATTTCCGTGGTGGATTTCAACGGCGTTGACTTAATTTCCGGTACTTCAGTTTCAACAATTTATTTACGAAACAATCCCTTGGAGTACAATTGTCATAATTACGACTTATTTGCCCATATTGAGGGTCACAATGGGGTGATTTTTAACATAAAAACTGACCATGAGATGGTACCACTTTCAAACTTAAAGTGTGATTTGGACCAATGCCCCGAAGAATGTCTCTGCAAATGGAGACCATACGACACTTCCATTATTGTGAACTGTTCAAGTCAAAATCTCACAATGGTACCACCACTGGATTTCAATTGGACCAATTTCAGCCAAATTGAGGTCCATTTGGAAGACAATGAGTTGGAAATGGTCAATTTGACTGGGTACCACAATGTGACAAAATTATTCTTGTCTAGGAACCATCTAAAGGAATTGTCTTGGGTACCACCAAACATACAGGTATGGTATTACTTGAATTTTGATTGGTTAAAATTACCAAAATTTTGCAGGTACTTCATTTGGACCATAATAACATCACTCGTTTAAATTACGACACAATTCAAGTTTTAAATTCGACAAATTTGACTCTGGATCACAATCCATGGATTTGTGATTGTGGTACCGAAAATTTGACAAGTTTCATCAGGAGTCACTTCAGACAGGTACTTTGGTACTAAGAGTACCAATTACACAAAGCGATAAAAAAAGTCATGTCGTGACAACTTGACAAATTTTATATCATTTTGTTCGTCTCAGTGAGACAAATCAAATGCACTAAAAAAAAATTCAAAAAGTCCAAACTTTGAACTAATTTTTTTTTCTAATTTAAATGAATTTAAAATTCTTTAACTTTAAAAAATCATTACTCAATAACTATTAGGCCGATTTCCTTTAAATAAAGACCATTCTAAAAAGATGGCCTTGCCCTTTAGAATGATATAAAAGTTGAAATTGAATATTGGCA